TTGGAATTGAACTCTGTCCCAAGGCTTCCAGCTAAGCGTCAAACAAGCATATGGGGTGAACATTTACATCAGGTAGATACACTCCTTAGAGAATCAATCATAGTAGAACAGAAGGGCAGTATTTGCACAGGCAGACAGCTCAGGGGACAGGAATGCCTAGGAAAGAAGGACACAGGGAAGAGATAACTACAGGGAGGAAGTGGGAAGAGAGCTGTTACACTGTGGGGACTATTATCCATGTCATGAAACAAAATGTGGAAAATGAATTTGCTCTGTAAACTTTCACCCAAATCACAATAAAAGGAATAAAATAGTAAGTGAGAAACGTGAATAGACCTAGAACTAGAAAACAATCTGTAATGCCCACTCCCCCATGGCTCTGGTGGCATAGTGCCTAAGACATTTGACTGCTAAGGCTGGTGGTTCAAACTCACCAGCCATTCCTCAGAAGGAAGAAGGGGCAATCTACTTCTGTAGAGATACAGCCTCAAAAACGCAAGGAGGGGTCGCTAAGAGTTGGATCTAACTTGAGGGCAGTGAGTAAACACCAAAAAACATAGTTTCACAGGGGAGTTGCCCCAAACAGTCTAGAAAGAAATCAACTCAAAGAAACCTTTCCAGGGAACAGAAAAAAGGGGACCACCACTCAACTTACTGTGTAAGTTAACTGTGTAAATTAACTCCTTGATACAAAGGACAAAATGTTTTTTAAAAAAAGAAAAGAAAACCAAATTCAGTGTGTTGTTCTCAAAAAACATAAACAAAGTGAAAAGGCAGGTTACAGACTAGGAAAAGGCACATGCAACATGTATAATGGACAGAGTCAACCCACAACCCCACAGAGTTATAGGCAAATGGTATGAGCAAGCTATGATAATACTTTCTGTGTGTTAAACTTTTACACAGATGATAATGACTGAGAAGCAGTTGAATTGCTTCTGCTTTTTCACCGTTCCCAACAGTGCTGCAGCAACATCCTTCTTGCACAAAATATGGGCGTGCACCCTCACCCAGACCACCTAATAGTCGTTTGGTTGAGGAGCTGTGGGGACACGCCTTCAACCTCACCAGGAGAGAAACATGAATAACCAATAAATATATGAAAAGATAATCATCTCACTAATACTTCCAAAAAACCCAGACTCGTTGCCATCAAGTTGATTCTGACTCATGATGACGCTACAGGACAGAGGAGAACTGCCCCATGGGGTTTCCGCGGCTGTAATCTTTACACAAGCAGACTGCCACAGCTTTCTCCTGTGGAGCTGCTAGTGGAATCCAATCTCAGACATCTAGGTTGACAGCAGGGCACTTAACCACTGAGCCACCAGGGCTCCTTTTCACTGATCATTTGTTGTTGTTGTTGTTGTTGTTTGCTGTCGAGTCGGACCCGACTCATAGCAACCCCTCCCTGGGTTTCCAAGGTGGTATCACTATGGAAGTAGACTGCCCAACCTTCCTTCTGAGGAGTAACTGGTGGGTTTGAATCACCAACCTTCTGCTTAGCAGTCAAGTGCTTTAGGCACTACTCTTCACTGATCATCAGAAAACTGAAAATTATTAAGGCAATCAGACTCATCAAAGTTGACAAAAATTTAAAAGTCTAAATACAAGTGTTAGCTAGGATGTTGGGAAAGTATAACTCATATGAACTGCTTAAAGGAGAATAACAGAGTTCTGGTAAAACGGTGGAACAGGCAGAAAGACTGCACAGACCCTCTTCAACAAAGAAAAGGGTTACCGATTAACACAGATACAGAAGA